ATTTCTGCCATAGCAGGCAAATTCTTGTGGGGAAACACATTTTCAGCTGCATTTGAATGGATTCAGCTTTAGGATAAACCCAGAATGTAATGAAAACACCCTGAATATATTAAACAAAGGACTTTGAAGACATCAGAAGTAGTGGGTGGGAGACAAGCAGATGCTGACGAGTGTTACCAATTTGCTGAAATAGGAGCTGTCCAAGTTGAGGAGGGTAATGGCTGCGTTTGTCAAAACGCCTGGGAGAGTTTCTGAATCATTGCTAGCTATGCAGGAAGTCTTCTCTTCTTCCCCAGAAAAACTCTTTGCTGACTAACGCATCTGGAAGCGATGAATCTCTTTACAAGAGAAGATCCTTCCGTCTTGCTCGCCTGATATGTCCAGGGCTGTGTTTGTCCTGCAGAGGCAGCTCCAGTCTGGATGTCACAGCCTCCACCTCCCTTGCTTCTAGCGACCGGATGGTGAAAATTCCTCATTCCCGTGTGTCCCAGCTCCCTGTGCTGTGTGCATGAAACTTCAGAGCCTTTCTTCTGCAAGGACCTGGCGTCCCTGAAAGAGATTGCATGGTTTGTCGAAGCCTAAATCAAATGAAGGAGCAGGATTTTTTGGCTTCTAGACTGTTAATCCCTTCTCTGCTGGGCGGTTGTAGTAGTAATCAAATGTCCCTATTTCTGACAGGAGTGCTTTGTCACTGGCCATTGATTTTGGACCATGCAAATGCTCTCTGCAGCAGAGAAGCCTGCAGGTTGCCTGCTGCCAGGTTTTACGGTGTCTTAGGAAGTCTTTTCTCCTGTGAAAAGGTTCTGAGGACTAGTTTCAGTTTTCTAGGTTTAGTGAATTTGTTTAATCATTTCATCCCCATATGTTTAGAGTTGTTGATTCATTTTCCATCGCTGGAAAATGAAGTTCGGGGATATCGGTGTGCAGACATTTTCAGGCAGTAAATCTTTCTGACTAACTTGGAAGCAGATTGTTCTTCAGGTCAGCCAGACTCTTGTGAGCAATGAAGCCTCTGAACCCCAAGCGTATGCTGCTTCTCCCAGCAGGCTCTCAACTGCAGAAAGCAATCTCGACAAAGGCTAGGAAAAAAAACCCATGAAGACAGAAATACTTGATTGGAAAGCCAGGGAATCTTTCAGAGGTATTCCCCGCATCAATTCACCTTTTTGTGTATTACATTTCTGCAGAGTCCTAAACCAGTCCTTGCCTTCTTTATTTTTCTTGTCCTCAGTCCTGTTGCAGAATTTACATAAACGTAATAGTGGATGTAAACAGGAGAGTGACTGCTCTTGTTTACAATGGTTTAATTAGAAAATCTTATAGAGTTAAAGCCTGACCTCCAATACTTGGTTAGGACATTTTCCAAGGCAGTCAGGGATTGACCTGGAGAAGATATGCACATGATTTAAGTTGTGCCATGTGCTGTAGGAAATGCTGGGAAAGGGATACAGTCATGCTGAAGTGCTCGGCAGTGCTTCTAGACGTGCACTGAGGTTATTTGAGATCTTACTGTCTTAAAGAGGTGTTATAATAAAGATATTATTATGAGTAAAATGCTCTGCATTTTCAGATCACCCTTCAAGGCAAAACAGTTACAATACATTATGTGAGCATGGGCTTGCTGCTTAGTTAAATGCAGTACCATCAAAAGGAAAATTACTATCTTGTCAAATTTATTTAAAATTATATACGGAAGGGCGTGACTACATCAGTGTAAAGCTTCAGGAATGAACTCTTATCTAGAGCACGTGTTCACTGCAAGGCCTGTTGCAGAGGAGAGAATTCCAGTGTCCTTTGATGCCATCTCCCCTGTGGTAGATGTTACTGTGGCCCTTGGCACTGAGCAGCCAGTTTTGGTTCTTTGCTGGAAGAGAGAGGGTGGGGAATCCATGGCAGATGACCAAGAACAAGCCTCAGCATGCTGCCTTTTTTGTTCCTCCCATCTCACTCATGTCTGCAGCACCCTGGCAATGCTCAGGAACCTGTTTCCAATTCCTGTCTTAGAAAAACATGATCATACTCTCAATTTATGGTAATGAAATCCCTCTGTGCTCGAAAGAATTATTCCTGATCCTCTTTACATTGAGAGGACAGATCAAGTCAGAGAGATTTAAAAAAGAAAAAAAAAAAACAAACTAGATTTACACTGCTACCGCTGCAGAGAATCCTGGTTCACAGAAAGGTAAATTATTCCTCACAAATACTCACGGTAGCAGAGATGGCAGAGCTGAAAATGAACGACGCTGCCAGAATATGCAGGGAGTTGAACAAGTGCAGCAAGTACGTGAAATGAAGCAATCTCACATATAAAGGACAGTTGTGTCAAAAGACACATTGGGAAAGCGGAGTTGTCTGGGTCACATACGTACCATCAAAACTTACTGAACATCTGTGTTCCAGAAAAATGAAAATGATTTGAGGGATTCCTGCATTAATTCTGTTTTTAAGCAATTAAAAAAAAAACAAACGCGCACCCCAAATTTTCTAACATTCCTATTTTTTCCTGATGCTGGAAGATGAAGTGTATTTTGTGAAGGGTAAAAAAAGATATCTTTCTGAAAAGCCACTGAACAAGCCTTGCCTGTACTTTAGGTCTGGTGCATGAGTTAGGCATGTGCAGGCAGTGCTGGGGAGTTGGGCAACACCTCGTGTTGCAACGTTTCACCTGCAGGTTCGGCTGATGGGAGCACTTTCAAAGTGAATGTTTCAGTGGAATTTCTGTGTCCTAATTCTTTTTTTGGCTGGGCTCTTGGTATTCTTTGAATGCAGGCCAAAACGCTAATCCGCACATATGCGTACTCAGGTTTATTAATTATGAAACTAGTAAAACGTTGTCAGTGGCTACTTTTGCAAGGAGAATTTTACCTGTGTGTTAAAAGCCTTTTCAGAAATGTAAATGCTTTGTGGTAGGTAATAAGACCTAGTGTCCATCCTTCCTTCCTTAATTTTTCATACAGAAGACTGGGGGAAGAGAGGTGATTTCCAAGAGGTTCAGCTCAATGCATGATATTTCTCTACTAGCAAGTTTATTAGGTTGTTCCTTACTCTTGCCTGGGTCAGTAAGCTCTTATGCAAACCCAAGATATCAGATTCTCTCCATTTTTAGGTTCTGCTGTTCACTCATAGTTTTATCATTTTTGGCTAGTTACATAACTACTGTGAGCTGCTGTTAATCTAAGTGAGTGCATGAATCTACACTTTATTGGTGTCTGAGAAAGCTTAAATCAGTGTTATTAAGCACTATAATCTAGAATAAAAAGATCTATTAGCTATAACATTTTTATTGATTTTCTGCAGAGCAGCAGTGGAATATTAAGTTGTATTAAAATGTTCTTGTCCCTCCCATTCCAAACAAGCCTGAAATCTTGAGCAATCAAAGAATAAAAATACCTTTCTACTGTACATGCACTGGTGGGAGGGCCTTTGGCTGGATTGCTCACTAGTTATTGTAACTTCTATTATAAAATACTTGTTTGGGGAAAATCCTGTAGGGCATCAGCATTCATGCTGTGCGATTAGATGCCTGCTGACTTTAGGAAGAGAAGAAAAGGATACCATGTCTGGGATTAATAGTGTTTGGAGATTTTTCTCTCTGCTATTCGCCTTGCAGTCTCTGGATTGCCTCAAGGAACAGGAGTGTGAAAAGGGAAAATTTTGAAGAAACACATGATAAGACCTTTTCTTAAGGAAGGTGTGATGGAAGAACAGCTCATGTTGTTCAGATCAAAGCTCAGCAATCCCCGTATCCTTTCTCCGCTGAAATTTACAGCAGATTCCTGGGGAACACTATCAGAATGGGGCCAACACACAGTGATACTTTCCCAGAATACTTTCCGCTTCCAAGAAGGACTTCCTGAGCCAAAAGTGGTGTCTTTTGTCTTTGATATCCCTCAGTGGGCTTTTCTTCCATGAAGCTGTAGAGTGGCTCTTTGAACTCGCACAAGGGAGTCTGTGTTTTGCATTGTGGTGCTTCTCTAGACTTTGGCTCTGACTGTTGGGAAAAGTTGTCTCCTTCCTGCTATTTATGTATTTCAGGGCCTATGACAATCATAGCTAAAAAACCAATGCCACAGACTTGCCACAGAAAGCCAGCTAGTCATCATCACTACTCTTTTCCTTAACAGGAAATTATGTCCATAGGTGTGCAGTGCTTTATATATTAGAATAGAGCTGGGTCCTGGGTGTGTTTTACTCATTTTTTTTTTTTTTTTAATTCATATTTTAGTTTGGTTTTATTCTGCCTGAACTGTGGATTAACCTTGCTAAGACAGTTACTGGGGATCTCAGCATGTTGGTTTTCATTGCTTATTGAGACAGGGCAGCTGGGTTTGCAGGATGAATGATGGAGGAAGACTGGAGCGTGGGGGCAAGGAACAGAGCTGGACTTCTCGGGTCACACTGGGCCAAGATGAGTGAGATGAATGTCCAGACAGCCAGAATAAATCTGGCTGCACTGTGGAGAGAGCACAGGTCATGTTGAGTGTATGCTTTGATCCTATTTATTATTTTATTGTTATGGGAATGGAATAGGATCCTGCAGTTTTTGATTCATTTTCTGCTTAATCACTTAAAAACACTGCCAGCAATTTTCATTATTGCACTGAAAAGTGTTTCCAACATGTGGACCAGCTGCAATCCCTGTCTTTGCTACAGTTGCCTTGGTAACGTGTCAAGTCACTTTAAAACTCTGTATTGTGAACCTAGATATCCTTTCTAGCCCATAGCTGCTCTCAGTCATTTGCAACAGATAATTACCTCAGTTTCCCCACCATTCCCATGGGGTCGCTGAAGACAAAAAGAACAAATACACCTTGCAGGAAGGTGGAGATGGGAAAGATCTGTAGCACCCTGAGCGTGGTGTCCAGGGGCGCGCTGACAGCAGTCATCTGGACATGTTTTTCCCTGCTGGTGTTTCTGTGCTCTGCAACGTGTACGAAGCCAGAAGTTCATTCACTTTTCTCATTATTTAACTTACGTTGCATTTTCTTCTTTTGTTTCAGCTCAAAAAGAAGCAGGTCTATGTTGAGAAGGTGGAGAAGATGCAGCAGGCCTTGGTGCAGCTGCAGGCAGCGTGTGAGAAGCGGGAACAGCTGGAACACAGGCTGCGGACCCGGCTGGAGAGAGAACTGGAGTCTCTCCGGATGCAGCAGGTACCCACTGTTTTCCTCTGCCATACTAGGTTTCTTGTAGGATTGTACACTATACCCTACACCACACATAAAAGAAGAGCAGTGGTTTTTTCCATCTTGTAAAACGAGCGAATTTTTCTTTTGATGGCTAGAATCATGGATTTGCTGGCCATTATATTGTTTTTACTTGGTTTAATTCTTCCATTCCAACCAGAAAATTTAGATAAGAGGGATAGATAGATAGGGGATCCATTGTGTGAAAAGATCCAAACATAGCCATATATCTAGATGGTGTTCTATCTTTAAGTAACCTGGTTATATTTACTTTTATATGATTTTTTAAAAATATTATTCACAGTTTAAGGTTTTATATAAAATTAATTAACAGCTGGCCTGAAAAGAGACCCTTCAAAAAACTTCTGCATTTAGAAGAGAAAACCAAAACCAAACCAGCAAAACCAATTCTATAAATGCAGTTGATGGAAATGGATGGGAGCTTCATGTAGAGTATGTTCTTACGAGTGTAATGTGAGTTTCTTTCAGTGAAAAGAATGATTAAGAAGTAGATTGTGCAGTGGTGTTATGAATTGGATACAAAATTTTAGTTTTATTTCAACCTACGTCAAACACAGATGAACTGTCAGGTTTGTAAATTTCACTGAAAATAGGATGCAGGCCTGTGTTCTAAATTGCATTTAGTTTCAGGTTATGTTTATCCCCCAGGTTTATGTTTAACTTCCACCTCTGCATAGGAATGGATGTTTATATCTTACTTGTATTTTTGTATTGGTTTTAGTAGGAGTTACAGTAATTTGATAAACCTGTCTGTGTTACCTTTGGAAGATGAGGTGCTCTGAACCCCATAATTTTTGACTTTGAGCCTGAGTCAATGCAAAAGAATAGCTTTCTTGTCAAGAATTGTTAAGAATTCTGAGCTGAACATAAAATAACTTATCTGCCCAATTTATTTTCTTTTAAACTTTTTAAAAATTATTTTTAAGTCAAATATCCTGCCAATCACAGATAACACTTCCATATAAAATTCTATTTTATCAGTTGAACTATTAGCTCAGCAACCCCCTACTCTTCCTTGTTTTGAAAGGGACACTGCCTATCTTCAAAATCTTTCTTTAGAACTCTATTTTTGATCCCCAGCTACTTAATCCACAGGTATACACTGATCATATTGATTTAATAACCAAATATTTTTAAAATATTTTGGATATATTTTTTAAAAGGTGTGATAACTCTTGTATACTTGTTAGTGTTACGCTGGAACAGTGTTGGAAGTAAATCTGTGTTACTTCAGGAATTATGGATGGGCTGTAGGCATCAGTCCTGAATAGCCTGATCCAGCTCTCAGGCGCACATGTGAGGCTTTGCCCCTGGAAAAAGGCCTGAGGAGGAGTATTTTCCATCTCAGATATTTGCTTGTTTGTATTGACCAGCTCTGGAATGGCACCAGAAAGCACTCTAGCATGGATGCTGTGAGCTAAGCTGTCTGTCTTGGGAGCAGTGCTTGGTGTTTTATGACTTTTGGGCTTCAACACTTGGAAAATGGAAGGAGGCTTTCTTGCATTATATGAGCTTGTTTCCTGGTTTTGACAGGCTGAAGCTGAAGTGCCCCTGCAGATGTTTCAGCTCAAGCTCTAAAGGAGACTATTACCATCACCTAGTCTGCCAAGCATGGCATAGGCCACTGCATTTCACTCTGGGGGGTCATGTGTCCAGCTGGTGCTGCTTTGGACCAGCCTCTGTCATTCAGATAAAAAGCAAAGAAACCAACCCTGAATCTTACAGATGCATCCTGAGACTTTTTTTTTTTTTTTTTTCCTTTTTGGAAATCAGCGTCAGGGTACCTCTCAGACTGCCAATGTCTCGGAGTACAATGCCACGGCGCTTATGGAGCTCCTGCGCGAGAAGGAAGAAAGGATTCTTGCTCTGGAAGCTGACATGACCAAGTGGGAACAGAAATACCTGGAGGAGAGTGTGATGAGACAGTTTGCTTTGGATGCAGCTGCAACTGTGGCTGCTCAGAGGTAAAGGAGACTTTTCATAGGCGTTATTTTCTTTTTCCAGTTGAATGTCATATTTCCCACCAAGGAATGTTGTCATACCACCCTCCCATGATACCTCTCCTTGCGGTCTGAACAGCTTCTCAGACTTCTGCATGCAAGTGGAGCTTGGCTGCTTTTCCTGGGAGCTGTGCAATTGCCAACAATTAGAAACTTTTTTCCAGGGGAACATTTCCCCCACATGCAGGGGCCATTTTCCAGACTGGAATTGTTCTGAGCCATTCCTAGAAGCTGTTGATTCAAAACTGGATGTATGAGGAGTGTTCTGTTTTTTTATTTTTTTTAAAAAGGAATCAGTACTTGCTGAAGTCATGTGAGATGGGCTAAGCTTGATGATTCACATCATTCACCCTGAATGGCTTGTTTGTTCTCCAGAATGTTTTTGCAAATTACTTTGTGGTATTGTCCTCAATATTGTTACTAACCAGAAACATCTACTAGGAAATTCTGCTGAAAACATTCTGCTGTGTATGGAGAGCACTGCTTGTGGGGGTGGGAAGGGAAGGGTGTCCGAAATTTGGTAACAAGCTCACATTCCAAGACAACTGTACGGATATTATGGCCGTAAATTGGCCCAAGTGCTTCAGCTGGTTGGTAACCAGAAGCTGTTATTGGAGTGCAACTCTTCAACGTTAGGTATTGCTTACATATAGTTTCATTGCTCACTAGTTTCTGGTTTTTGATGGCAGATTTTATTTTAGATTGTTTCATGAACCAGATTCAAATTGGGATGTTATCACAGCCGGCTTCCTAGCTTGTAAGATCACACTAGAATTACAGGGGTAGAGTTGCAGATCAACAGTGTTAGTGTTTAAAGACTTATCTTATCTTGCTGCAGAAGCAGGTTGTTATTTTAGGGTATTGATGCTTCTTGCGCACTGTTTTCCACCTCCCCAGAGATTCTCTAAAGGCTCTTGCTACTGCTTGTCCTTAGAGGCCATGTTATATTTTCAGCATGCGCTGATAAGCAGGGGTCTGGACTATTGTTTAACATGGAATGAGGGGGGATGTTAGGCCTGTTCAGGTTTTGTTAAATGAACAAGAATGCCTTCCAGTCAGGAAGGAGCCAACCTCTATTTTTCCATTTCCTTCTAGCTGCTTCTACCCTACAAGAGAGTACTCCATTAGTGTCAATACTTCTGCAAGTTTGTATGAAGTTGACACCTATACTATCTCCTTCAAAAATAAAGGCTATGAGGGATTCCACTAATTTTAGTGACCACCTCATCTACACTGTGCACATTTGTTTTTTTTCCCTTCAGTAGTGGAAAATAGCATCCCTTAGGAAGTTGAGGTTGCAGAAAGGATATTTTACAGCACAGCAATCTGGGTCAGGTTAGGTTCCTTTGATAAATAACCTTCTTATGCCCTTCACATTGGTGCTTTGCTGTTCCTGATCTGAACTTTTGCAGAGTTAGACGTACATTTACCAGACAGTTCTTAGACGTGCTGGGTCTGAGAGAACAGATTTCTTACTACAGTGAATCGGAGCTCTTGGTAACTCTAAATTTGTGTGTGTGTTTTTTTCTAATTATGTTAATGCATAGCTATGACAGTAAAATGCTTTTAATGAGTCATATGGTGATATGGAGCGTAGCACAGCGACTTTGTTCTGACTGAACAGAAACAAGTAGAATTAAATAATCATTATGTTTTAGTTAGTGGATTGAACAGCTATCACAGTGTTAACATCAGGCGCTATATGGAATCAGTATAAAACTGTTCTCAGCCTAGGCACCAAGCTGCCTAGGATTGTTTAAGAAACGTCCATGCCTGGTTCCCTTTGATACTCAGATTCCTTCTATGATACTGTTGGAAGGGGAAAAATCTGACGTGAAGCTTGCACTATTTCAATTGAAGAAGTGTGCCTAGCGCTCTATACCATCCTTCCCCTTCCACATGTCCTTGGATTTGCCTCATCGATCAGTTTACATCAGTGCAGTGCATCAGTTAGATTATAGACTGGCCCAGGATGGACAGTAGATTGACTACTGTTGTAATGACTCGCATATTTTTATAATCCTTCTTTCATTAGGACTGGGAGTTACATTTTTGGAAGACAGTGATCCACTCTAAAATTCAGAAAAAGTGGATATTCTTCTTTGATACTTTTGAGCAATAATTTTGTGCTACTGGGAGGAAAGCAGCAAATTTAGCTGGTCCTTCATCTGCTCTACTGTTTGTTTTCAGGGACACAACGGTGATCAGCCACTCGCCTAACCCTAGCTATGACACCTCGCTGGAAGCTCGCATTCAGAAGGAGGAGGAAGAGATCCTGCTTGCCAACAGGAGGTGTCTCGACATGGAGGGAAGGTAAAATGCAATCTGGTCCTATCTGGCTTCTTTAGGACAGGGACTTTAAATTAATTGTCTGGGTAGACGCCTCAGAACCAGAAATTCTTGTGTCTTCACCAATAGCAACAATGTAGAATGCCAGACACTCATTTGGCCACAGAAGTATCTACACAGCAATCCAAAACCTGTCTTGATACTGAGGGCTAATGCAAAAAAGTCATCTTAGATTTTTTTTTTTTTTTTTTTTTTTTTTGAAGGGTTAAAACAATAAATATATTGGTTCCTGTTTTTCCTCTCTGCAGCTTTGGGCTCCAGCTGGGTACAGACATGGAATAGTAACGAGTCCATGGGAAAAGCTCATCTTCTCACAGCCCTTACAGCAGCACCCCAAGCTCGGTGTGAACTTCCCAGAGCAGAGTGGTGGAGCTCTGGGAGG